TCGCTAGAGTAGTCTGTCGTTCGTCGCCAATTCATAGCTCTCATGTCGCCTTTTCAAGGCCATGTCGCTTGTCGGAATTTACCCCTAACAGGGTCTCTTCCACGGAAAGCTTGTTCAAGGTCTTAAAGATAAAAGACATAAAAGGGTGCGAAACAGATTTCTCCTTGGCAGAACTGTGTTCCAAGATTGGATTCAAAATTGAAAGATCGGCTGAGATATTTGAACATGCATGCAAGGCTTGTGAAAGGAAAATAAGGGATGCATACGAGCTGTACAATTTCATTGTAAAATGGGGTTGACAGGCCTACATGGACTCCTACGGTTTGTGACATTTGTACATTTGTCGTTCTGTTGTCAGTTCTCAACCTTTGCTTCACACGTGTTTATGAAGGCCACTTACAGTTGATTTGTGTTATTAGAGGAATTTTGGTGGACTTATGCATTATGCGTGCATAAGCCCAATAAACTATCAAAATCTTGTGGGTTTCAGGACGTGATGTCACTTGGCAGAGCTTTAGGAACATGAGTGGCCTAGAAGGTAGACTGGGTACTAGTATTTCGCGTGATTGTTTTCTAGTAAAGGCGGACATTGCTACATTTGTGGTACGTAGTCCTTGCCAGCTCTTGTGATATTGCATTGTCAGCAAATTAAAGACTACTTGGTGTGCAACAAAGGTGGTTGCATAATTCGATCCATCGATAACTTTGACAGGGGCTTTTAACCGAAACTTTTGCCAAAAATCATGTGCGAGAGTTTCACTCGAAAAGTGTTCTTCTTCCGCGAAGAATGATTTCAAATTTCCATATTGTCTCATTTTTTATATAATTACTTTATCTTTTATTTTAATTTACTTTATTACGCGGATGCAAAGCAATTCGCGTTAGAAATAAGGTCGCGTGTTTTTTTTTTTCCTTCATGGTGGTCGCAAATTGTAACGCAAGTTGTTATAGTCTACAGGTAATTACATTGTAGCCAATGGTAGCTCCTGTTGCATGTTGTTTTCAAGGTTGATTTTGTCGCAACATGGAAGGCTTCAAGTGGTAAGCTTTGAGTGCTTCACGAGATACACAAACCCTCAACTTGTCGCGAAATGTGAGCAGATTTTATGCGTGGCAAGTTGTGAGTTTGAGGAACGAGCAACAAAGCCAAAATTTGTTGCTCAAGTAGACCCGCTCTCTACTATTCTCAATAACAAGTTGATCGCGCAAGGTGAAAAACTCGAAACATCAACCAAGTTGAGAGTTTTTGTATTGAATATATCGTTGTTGGCGATATACGAGGTACGGGTTTTTGTTTTTCGTATTTCGCCGCCTTTAGAACACAGCGCAACATATTCATTTTTTTGTAGAACATGTTAGGTGGACTGTATGTGTTCAAAGTAAATTCGAAGGTGTATATTTAATAAAGAACCATCGAAATAACCTCTTATTTAGCTGTTATAAACTTGGAGTTCGTTGTTTTGAGCTTAATTTATTTTCGCATTGCTTCGATTTGAAATATTTAAACGTGAACAAGCGTTTCGAACGATTGAGAAAGGACTTATTGAATGTTTACCCTGCAGCTCACTTGATCTGACCAAATGTCTCAAATGTATGTTGTTTGCGCTTTCAGATCAGACAGCAGCGTCTTAAGAAACTAGCATTCATTTTTAAGACGGAGCAAAGCCATACATAGCAAGCCGAATGAGAACAGTTACTGTACGGCTCGTAGAAAACGTGGGGTAACATTCGAAATAAACTGTTCAGAATAATAGAAAACATTATATTGATTAGAGAGCATCCATGTGTTCTGATCATGTATAATCGATTCGGGCGACACGTATGCAAATAGCATTCGAAAAATTACCAGCGTTTTGATTTCTTTTCTCACGTAGAAGGAGTGTGTCTGTTTGCTCGAGGTCATTTTATCTATTTCTGAACGAACAGGTGTTTCTTTTCCAGTATAAGTGCTGTGATTAAACGAGATTTTCAAGATGTTCATCCCAAGAATTTGCTGGCTTTACGGTAATTGTTTGGTTACAACTCTGAATATGTTGATATTACCTATTAACGCGTAAAGGGGAATCTCTGAATTTTTCTCATTGTGACTCCTATCAAGCTAAGATCACACAGACCATCAGGAGTTCTTTTATATGTGAGAAATACCCTTCACTCTTGTATTTACTTGTCTTTTTTCCCGAAATTTTAAGATCATGTGACCGCAAGTTTGTTTTTCGCTTCTGAGCAAGTTGTCGGAGAAGTGTCGTCGTAAGTGTCAACGCAGCATAAAGGAAAAGGGAACTGTCACAAAGGACAAATCTTTGTTTGTGGGGGGCTTGGAAATTTTCCCCAAAAAATCTTCGCACAGAAAAAACGCTTAGACGTTTTGCCACCAAAATTAAATGGCCCGAGGCTGTGCAGGTAGTCCATTATTGATAAGCCCATCTCCTTAGAGGGGGTGGGGGAGGGAAGGGGGCGGGGGATAATAACAACTAAGGTTTTCTCTTTTCTTTAGAAAAAACATTCACCATTTTCACTTAATTTCGTTACCTGGCCTCACTCTTCGCACAGAAACCAATGATGATCACTGCAAACTTAAGAAAAACCATCCGCTTTAAGGCCTCTAGGCCTCTTGTTTACTTTATAAATGCGAACTGCCCACACCAGGATTCGAACCGCCGACCCTTCCATCCGACTTCCGATTCCCTGACTGAGTCCTACCAGCTGCGCTACACTGTAATAAAGACTTTTTGTGAGGGAATACAGCTATTAATTCATCACATTTTGACTGAAACTGCTGATTAAATGATGATTACCGCGGGCTTAAATGATTCGCACATCACAGTGAGCTGCTCCGAATTCAAATGGTTGTTGGTCTCTGCTGGAAATCACTCAATATGCTCACCAAATGACTTGTTTTGCTGGCTACGTTATCTATCATGGATATTTTGGATGCTGGACGGGAACTTTTCATTCTCACTCTCCACTGTTTGCCCTGTAGTCAATAGATAGTCTGGATAGTAATAATTTCGAGTGATCCTTCACCGGTCCTTCTATGACAGCCATTGCCAGCGTTCTACGGCGTTTGTGGGGCGTATCGTTTCATATTGTGTTGTCTGTGCTTTTGTTTTGTTTTGAGTAATTCTTGTACAGCTTACAGTTGCGAGTTTAGTTGCAGTTTTCAAGGTAAGTTTTTTCCGATTTCTCAATCATTCTGTTGCAGTCATAATTTTTTCCTTTCATTTAACACAAGCGCGCATCGGAAAGACAAACGCTGCCGCTTGGTAAATGTTTAAGAAAAGAAAAAAATTAGTAAGAAAGAAAAGAAGAAGCACCGGTCTCACTAGGAGTTGAACTCATAGCCTCCCACTCACTAGGCAGACACACTAACAACTACACTTCTTGTGGAGAAAATATTGAATTCATCGATTTGTACGGAAGCGCTGGGTAGTTAAAAACGTTCTTAGCGCGAACGAATTTATTATTGTACTTTTATCTTTCTAGTAATTGCCTGCAACGAATAAAACTAGCCACAAGCCCACAAGTACGCCTTGCGGATTTATTTTTGGTAGAGTGGAGCCGTCAGACTGTGCTATAGCAAATATTTAGAGGTTATACGTCTGCATGGTTTCCGCTGTTATCTGCATGTCGCTTCGCAGAGTACGACACCTCTGTAATTTACCATGTGCCTTTACTTACGCCGCCCCCCCCCCCGAAAACAACGGCTCCCCTTAAGTAACGTTAGTTTTTTCCCTTCCTACTGTCCCCCCGAAAGAAGTACTCATCCGAAAGTAGTGGCCCTTTGAAAAAGTCACTAAACGAGAAAGTCTCAACCGCAGGTCATGCGGATGGAACAGCCTGACTGCAGGACTGAACATTGACTTAAAGAGCTATCTGTGATTTTATTTTGAACTTGACTGAATTTGTCTTGAATCTATGATTTATAAACTGTATTTGTCTAGCAGCAGAGTCAAATGATATACTGTAGGGTAATCAGTTGTATTGCGATATAATGCGACCATTATATTTTTTGATTCACCCTACAGGAACAACCGGTTTAGGGCCTTTTTTTGTTTATACATCCTGCACTGTTTATGTGGGTAGTTGGAAACATACATAAACGGAATGTTTAATTTCTTTTGTTACGCGTCCGCTTTGTCTGAAACGACTGTCGCCGCACAAACGTTTTTTAACCATCCGAAAGTAACGGCTACCCGTAGGTAGCGGTCCCTTTTGCCTGCTAAATTCGAAAGTAACGGGGGCCGTTACTTTCGGAATTCTATGGTATGTATAAAAAGTCTCCAAGTGTTGGCTTTCAAGGGACAAAGTTTGAAGTATTCCTTGAACATATTGCTTACCTGCATTCTAAATTATCACGGATATCATATTTATCTTTGTCTGGTTTTTCTTCAGAGATTGCCGTAACGATAACATCTCTGCAACGTGGTCGTCGTTTGTACTTTTTAATGGTAAAATAACGATAACAGGGCTTCTCGACGAAAACATTTCTTCTCTTGTGTGAGCGAATATGGTGGCAACATAAGGAGTTTTTTAACCGCCATCTCTTGCTCTTTCTTTGACACAATACTCTGAGCTTCTCTTACAATTTAGCTACACCTTTTTCAATACTTTCAGAATCAATTACTTGTGGTTAGCTATTTTCCAATTTCTTGCTTCGCGGGAACTTTCGATCAAGTGATACCATCATCTATCCTTTGGTGGATTAACAAAATTCCTTATTGACGCGTTTGTCATTCTCAGCCAATCCGAATTTCCCATCCACTGGTGGATGGACAAACAAAAAAACCCAAGAACCTGTGCAGACGGTTTCTCCCTCTCTCTCATCACCATTCTTTATGTGGCTTCATAGCTCGTTTTCACAGGCTCGCTGCTCGTTCCGCAACAAAAACCCACCAAAACCGCCGGCTGTGCAGGCTACTATGTGTGCAGAAGGCAAGAGAGCTACATGTAGTTTCACTGTTAAACTTCTGTCTGGAATGTTTCTTGTGTTATAACCAATCACAAGTGGGATTGGGAGCAAGGACAAGAATCAACATCAAACTCAACCCACGTATGACGCCAGGTCCAGGATTCAAACTTGGGCTACACTAGTGCTCTTTCCACTGTGCTACTCCTGCTCCCCTTAACAATACTTTCCTTTCGATGCAAACTGAGTTCTCTTTTCTATCTTTGAGCATACATCACAGTTGTTCAGTTAAAGTCTAGGGGAGGCAAGTTTGGATACAAGCTGTGAAACGTGATCTTGTGAGCTGCTTAATTAGTATGAAAACAGTTGATATGTAGTTCCTGTGTATTGTAAAACTGCCTGTCTGCATGCATAGTTGTTTTATATCTTGTACCTGAATGAATCAACTGTGGACTGTCATTTTGTGCTGGTTTAATATTGCAGGGTACATTAATAAGAGTTTTTGATACAAGTAATGGAGCACAGCTTCATGAACTCAGGCGAGGATCAGGCAGTGCTAATATCTACTGGTAGGAACTGCTGTCCCTTTATTTTGTTTTTTGTTTTTTGTTTTTTGTTTTTTGTTTCTTTTCTTTTTGCTTTTTACCAAACAATCATCATCATTCAGTCTTTACATCATAAATGCAACTAACTTGCACACAATTTTAGTATAACCAACGTAATTTTTAAAAAGTGTGTGGGTTAATAGATTGTGATCACAGTCTGAGGCAGAGAGGGTTTTGTACCAAATAAGACTAATGTTCTCCCAGCACGATCCTGAGCAGCGTTGGAAGATAAGAAAGTTATTATGTGAGTGAAAATGTTATGAAATATCAAAATCACAGACTGGAGAGATTCTATAAACTTCAAGTTCACATTTACTCATTTCATGTTCAATAACACTCACAAGGAAGAAGAATGTTGGGAGAATGGATTTATTCGCCCTTTAAATTCTATTTGAATGTGTGATGTTTTTAATTTCACAAATGTAATATTAGGCCAGCTGCAGTCAGTTTCATTTATTATTTGCAGTATCAACTTTAACCATGACTCGGAATTGCTGTGTGTTTCAAGTGATCATGGTACTGTTCATATCTTTGCTATTGAAGATCCTAAGAAAAACAAGCAGTCTAGGTAAGATACCTCCTTTCTGAGAAGATTGGATTGTTTTGGAATCATACATGTAATATGTGTTTGCTGTTTACTGGATAACATTAAGGATGTATAGGCCACTTTGTCTTGGTCCATAATATACCGTCAATGGCTCATTGTGAGGGCAAAGCACGGTTGCATTCATTTGTACCTGTGACCTGTGGGATACCCCGGATATGTGACTCTTTTTCAGCCTTCGACTGATTCCATTCTTCATAGTGCAAACCTATTTATTTCTTTACTGATCATTTTTAGTCCTAAGAATGAAAGTTGTTATCTTGTTACTGATTACCATGGTGTTCATAATGTCATTTTCGAGGGCTTAGTAATTTATTAATATATTCCTCAGTTTGTCGGACTTCTTTAATTAGCCCCATCTATTTGCCCGACAGTTTGCATGAACGAATAGGGTGATTACAACGAGAAGTAAGACTGGTAGTGCTCTTGTTTGGAAGCCTAAGCTACTTTAAACTGATAATAGTATTTGCGGTCTGTGAATCAATCCTGTCATTTTATCTTCCTCTGACAGTCTTGCCTCAGCACATAACTTTCTACCAAAATACTTCAGTTCTAAGTGGAGCTTTTCAAGATTTCAAGTCCCTGGTGACCCACACTGTGTTTGTGCGTTTGGAAATGAAAAGAACACAGTAATAGGTATGTCTATTTGGTACGAGTTGTTAGAAGGTAGTTATGGGTAGTAGATCAAGAAGCAGCCTTGCCTCAATACGCACTCACTTGTGGTTCGTCACGTTTTTTTTTGAAAATTCTTTAGTGATGAAAGGACGTGGTTATCTTTCTTGGGGTTAGGAATCAAAAATCAAATAATAATAAATTGCACTAATCAATCATTAAATCAATCAACTAGCCAACCAACCAGCAAAGTACAGGGTATTAGTGAAGTTTTATCATGTATAGTATTATTACTCAAGTGAAGAAATATTCTCGCAAGATTTTATTTGCAATCAAAGCGATTATTGCAAACAAACCTGGAATAAGTTAAGCGCTTAAGTGAGATTTGATCACATAAGCTGTGTGTTACTGCTACGATGCTCTACCAGCTGGACTGTGAAGTTTTTCGAGAGACTTGAGGTTGCTAAGTGTCACGAAAGTTTCGTTTGTCATCGAGTTTACGTAGTTACATTCCAGAGAATTGATTTCGAACGTTTGATTGACATTTACACCTCGTGATCAATTAAATAATTTTGTAAATAGGTTCATTGATCAGTGTGATTAAAACCTTTTTGAACGAACGACGAGTGGTTTTTCTTCTACGATATATTGGCGCCCAACGTGGGGCAGTTTCCTACATTCTAACGATGAGCGAGGAGATCCTTCGATTGCGCGCGAAGCGCGCTGGAAACAGAGGCGTTGTAACCAAACTTATGGGACAAGTCGAAACGATCTTAGAAGCGAGTCCTGAAGAGTTGGATGCGAAAACAAGGGATCAACTACAAAGAATCGACTCGATGTTAAGCGAAAAGTTTACATTGTTAAACACGCTCAACGATCAAATAATAGCTGTATGCAAGGTGGAAGAAATCGAGAAAGAAATAGACGAGACGGAAACATTAAAAATGCGCATCATGGATACGAGAGCGAACATTTCAACGAAGACAACGCCTCCTGCAACGAAAGTCGTTCATGGTGAAATTACCACACCTCCAGCACAAGTTCATCCGCATGTAG